GCTTCGTGAGTGGTACGCTCAGAGTCGAGGGTCTCGGAGTACCGTTCGCTGCCCGTACGTCATTTGCACAGGTGATCGGACTGGTCAGACTTGCGGTGCAATGGGTCACACACTGTCCCGCTGCTTCGCCTGCCTGAGCGACGCCTGGCGTACCGTGTTCGGCGACGAGGCTGAGGTCCCCACCTGGCTGGAGCTGCTTAGGTAGAGGGTGGATATCTTCGCTCTTGACTATGATGCTATCCTCACTACCATATATGCATTGTCTACTAGTGCTGAGGGTGCCTGTTGTTGACAGCTATAACGTTATGCGGAAGCGATTAAAGCTTGAACTACGAGCTTAACTTGGCAACACTTAACATCACTTGCAGCCCTTTGAGTGTGACAGCTTGTCACCTCCTAGCGCGGCCTTTTCTGAGCGCGCGCCCACCCCGAGCCGCCCGCGCGACCACCGCCGCCCACGAGCAGCCCCCCCCCTAGCCGCCCGTGGACCGCTGCCCAGAGCGTCGCAGCCCCACCCGTAGGCCGCCGCGTCGCCCCTCTAGGCCGCCGTCCGCGCGCTAGTCAGGCCCACGCACAGCCGCGACCCGCCCGCTACAGCCGCCCACGTGCACGCCTCCCCCGTTGCGCACCGCCGCGTAGCCAAGCCGCGCCGCCCGAACCGAGCCGCGCCGCGCAAACCGAGCCGCGCCGCCCAAACCGAGCCGCGCCGCCCAAACCGAGCCGAGCCGCCCTGGCCGAGCCGCGCCGCCCTACTGTGCCCCACCTGCAGCAACTCCTGTTCTTGTTCCAGGAAATACTACTGCTTCAGCTGCTACTGTTCTTGCTACTGCTACTACTGCTACTGTTCCTACTGCTGCTACTGCCACTATGGCCAGTCCTTCTGTTCTTACTTTTGACGCTGAGGGCCGCCCGATTAAGTTTGAGGTTTGGTTAGATGACCTGCACCTGTTCCTCCAGATCACTGCCAAGGACAATTTCTCCCTCTATGACCACACGTCATGCGCCGCTCCCGCACCTGCCGCTACTGCTGACAGTACTGCTTGCTCCCAGTGGCAGATCCGTGATGCTCACGCTCGCCTAGCCGTTCGCAGCCACCTGCCGTTAGATGAGCGCGAGCACTTCGGCCAGCATAAGACCGCTAAGGAACTGTACGATGCGGTAGTTGCGCGCTACTCCTCCCCTGCCACTGCTGCGATAGGCCGTCTCTCACTGCCCTACCTCTTCCCCGACCTGTCCGCCTTTGCCACTATAGCTGACCTCATCACCCACCTCCGTACCAGTGACCTCCGCTACCGTGTCGCGCTCCCCCCGATTTCCTCGCCAAGAACCCCCCCCCGATGTACCTCACACTGTACCACCTAGTCACCCACCTCCCTGACTCCCTTCGCACTGTCAGGGACCAGTTTCTCGCCCTCTCCCCCACTGACCTCACTCTCGACCTCCTCGAGAAGGAACTCCTAGCAGCTGAGAAGAGCATTGTAGCTGTAGGTGCCTCTCGTGGTGACCCCCGCTCCCCCTTCTTTGAGGGGTGCTCCCCCTCCCCCCTCCTCCCCTCCATTGCATCTGCTGCTGCTGTCGACTACCTTGGAGCTGAGGGGGTCGGGGCTGCGTCTGCTCCTAGTGGGAGGCGCAAGGGCGGCAGGGGCAAGGGGGGCAGGGGTGGCGGAGGTGGAGGCGGGGGCGGCGGCGGTAGAGGGGGTGGGGGGGGCGGGGGTGGTGGCGGAGGTGGGAGTGGCGCGGGTGGTGGGGGGGTCAGTGGCGGCACAGGGGGTGGTGGCGGCGGAGGTGGTGGGGGTGGTGGGGGCGGTGGTGGCAGTAGTGGCGGCGGTGGAGCGGGTGGCGGGCGCGGTGGAGCGGTGCAGCGTGGGGGGTTCGGCGGTGGCCAGAGGCAGCAGCAGCAGCGTCCCGGCAAGACTCCCTCGCCCCAGCAACTCCGTGAGTGGTACTCTCAGCGTGGGGGGTCTGGGGGTGGAGGTACCTGCCCGTACGTCATCCGCACAGGTGACCGCACTGGCCAGACCTGTGGGAGGTTCCACACGGCACACCGCTGCTTCTTTCGTCTTGACGATGCCTGGCGTGAGCAGTTTCTTGACGCCACTGAGCTGCCCCGCTGGGCTGATCTGCGTAGGAAGAACATTGATATCTTTGCTCTTGACTTTGATGCTATCCTTGGTGCCATGTATGCATTGACTATTAGTGTTGAGGGTGACTGCTACCTGAGTGTACCGCCCGACCCGGGCATTGGGACCAGTGAGACAGCTGCTCCAGGTGCTAGTGGGTCTGCTGCCCTAGGTCCTGGTGAGGCTGCTGCTCTTGGAGCTAGTGCGTCTGCTGCCCTAGGTCCTGGTGAGGCTGCTGCTCTAGGTGCTAGTGCGTCTGCACTTGCTGGTACTGCGTCTACTGAGGCACTGCACACCTTCACACTCGACTCAGGTGCTTCCCGCTGTTTCTTCTGTGACCGCACTGCCCTTGAGCAGCTAGCTCGGCCAGTTTTTGTCTCCCTCGCTGACCCCTCTGGGGGCCCGGTCCTTGCGACCTCCTCCACTGTCCTCCCTTGTCCTGCGGTCCCGTCCGGCACCCTGTCGGGTCTTTACCTCCCCTCGTTCTCTACGAACTTGGTGGCGGGCTCTGCTCTTCAGGATGGGGGTGTTCACCAGTTCACCCCTGCCTATGAGCGTGTGACCCACTGTACGTGTGCTCGGACAGGTCGCCACCTAGTTACCTTCACTCGGCAGTCGGGGTCGGACCTGTACACACTGACCACTGAGTCCCCTCAGGTAGCTGCGTCTACGTCTGCGTCAGGTCAGCTGTCGGCCCCCTGCTCATGTCGTTCCCTGTCGCACCAGAGAGTTCTCTGGCACCACCGTCTTGGTCACCCGTCAGTGCAGCGCCTTCGTGGCATGCACTCCCGGTACCTTGTCTCCGGTCTTCCCAGGGTTCTCCCTCCCCTCCTGCCCTCGCCTGCTCCACCCTGTCTTCCCTGTGTTGAGGGGCGGCAGCGCGCCGCTCCTCACTCCTCCTCGTTCCCTCCCACAGAGGCTCCTCTGCAGACTCTCCACCTGGACGTGTGGGGCCCAGTCCGCGTCCGTGGACAGGGCCACGAGCGGTACTTCCTGCTGGTTGTCGGCGACTACACGCGCTACACCACGGTCTTCCCCTTACGCACCAAGGGTGAGGTCCCTGATGTTTTGATCCCTTGGATCCGCGCTGCTCGTCTCCAGCTCCGCGACCGGTTCCGGTCGGACTTTCTTGTCCTGCGTCTGCACTCTGACCAAGGTGGTGAGTTTTCCTTTGACCTCTTGGCAGCCTACTGTGCGGAGCACGACATTCGCCAGACGTTCACGCTTCCGGCCTCTCCACAGCAGAATGGGGTTGCTGAGCGCCGCATTGGTCTAGTCATGGAGGTCGCTCGTACGTCCATGATCCATGCGGCTGCCCCCCATTTCCTGTGGCCGTTTGCAGTGCAGTACGCCGCGCATCAGCTCAACCTCTGGCCCCGTGTCTCTGCTCCAGAGACCTCGCCCACACTCCTGTGGACGGGGCAGGTTGGCGATGCGTCGCGTTTCCGGGTCTGGGGTGCTCGTGCCTTTGTCCGCGATACCACTGCAGACAAGCTCTCTGCCCGCGCTATGCCCTGTGTCTTCCTTGGCTTTGTCCCTGACGCGCCTGGTTGGCAGTTTTACCACCCCACCTCGCGTCGTGTCTTCCCCTCTCAGGACGTCACCTTTGACGAGTCGGTACCCTTTTACCTTGTGTTCCCCTACCGCACTGCTCCGCTCCCTCCCCCTCCTCTCTTCCTCACCCCAGGTGCCCCTTCGGTAGACCCCCTCCCTCCACAGGGTCCTGCTCCCTCAGGTGTTTCCCAGGTAGACGCAGTCGAGCCTGTCGAGGTAGCTGTTGACTCTGGTCCTGAGAGGGGTACTGAGACTGGGGGTGCTGAGACTGGGGGTGCTGAGCCTGGGGGTGCTGAGCCTTGGGGTGCTGAGACTGGGGGTGCTGAGCCTGGAGGTGCTGCGACTAGGGGTGCTGAGACTGGGGGTGCCGAGTCTGGAGGTGCTGCGACTGGGGGTGCTGCGCCTAGGGGTGCTGAGCCTGGGGCTGCTGAGCCTGGGGGTGCTGAGCCTGGTGGCGCTCCCTCTTCACAAAGAAGATCCGCTCCGCTGAGCCTGGGGGTGCTGAGCCTGGTGGCGATCCACAGGCCCCGACCGATCCGCTCGAGCGCACACGACGCGCCACCGAGCTGCGACCAGGTGAGTCTGGCCGACGAGCTCATGGGAGAGGCATCCGTGGTCGCGAAACAGGGCTGGCAGCCAACGGCGGACTAGCATCCACACCCCGAGGCCAGTCCGGCGACTGCACAAGGCGCTCGACCGAGCGGCGGCACGGCCCAGATGGCAGACGACATGCACGTCGCAGCGGTGGTCGGCCAAGCGCGCGGGGAGCCCGTTGCGGTCCAGCATGTTCAACCCTCGACGAGTCCGCCGACTGCACGACCGACCGGCGTCACAGCGCAGCTGCCCGACGACCTCCTGCGCCCCGCAGCGGTGGTCGGACAGCAGGGCGGGCCGCGCGGTGCGGGCCAGCATCTTCACCCGTCGACGAGCACGCCGACCGCACAAGACGCGCGTCCGGCTGGCGTCACGGCGCTGGTCGACGAGCTCTTGCGCCCAGCAGCGGTGGTCGGACAGCAGGGCGGGCCGCCAGGTACGGGCCAGCATCCCCCCACCGCGACGAGTCTGGCGACTGCACAGGACGCGCGTCCGGCTGGCGCCACGGCGCTGGTCGACGAGCTCTTGCGCCCAGCATCCGTGGTCGGACAGCATGTCCAGCAGGCCGCGGCGGGCCAGCATCCCCACATCGCGACGAGTCCTGCCACTGCACGTGACGCGCGACCGGGTGGTGTCACGGCGCTGGTCGACGAGCTCTTGCGCCCAGCAGCGGTGGTCGGACAGCATGTCCAGCAGGCTGCCGGTGCGGCCAGCTTACCCGTTCATGGGGCCATGGTCGCCGCGGAACCGATCCCGATCCCAACGGCTGTTGAGTCTCGGGCGGTCGAGGCTCTAATCACTCAAAACCCATCGTTCGACGAGTATCTGAAATGGCTCGAGGATCAAGGTCAGAAAACCCCGGTAATTCCTCCGACTCACAGCAACCAGGCGGTCGACCAAGGAGCAGAGGCAGCGAACGTCGCGGCGGCGACTACAAGGCCGAGTGGCTCAACGGTGGAGGCGGCTGTGTGGAGAGCGGCGGAAGAGGCCGGCGGGGTGGACGAAGAGATCCTCGCCAGGATCGTGATGCCAGACCTGGAAATCGAGGTCATGCGGGAAAAACTACAAGCAGCAGCTCCCACCGTGGGAGCGCAACAGGGTGCACCAGCCGCCTCGACTGCTCCTGCGGAGGACCATAGCGCGGCTGGCGCCAAATCCCCCCCGGCCACAACCGGTGAGGTCGGCGATGGGAAGCAAAAGCGCAAGGGCAAGGACAAGGCGAAGGGCGGCCCGGCGAAGGTCGGCTCTTCCAAGGGGACGTCCAAAGCGGCCGCGCAGGGTCAGAAGGGTTCAGGCGTCCGCGTTGACCCTTCAAATGGGCTGGCCGTCTCGGAGATGAAGTTTGGGAAGAAGAGCCGTTACATCTGCCGGTCGATGGACAAGTCCGAGGCCGCCTACTGCATCGCTGTCGCCGTTTCGTCGTTCGACGGCTTCGTCAGCGACGTGGTTCTCGACGAGTTCGGTGGGGTCAAGGAGGAAGTGATGGCGCAGTATAAGGCGGACTGGAATGTGGCGCGATTTATCCCGGGGGGGCATGTGGATGGTCATGTGGAGCCGAGGGGCGAACGTCTTCCGCGACAGGTAAGCTTGGCGAATGCTCAATTTGGTGCTCGTTTCGGTCGGTTCGCGTGGGCCGGTCGGTGACGGTGGGTATTCCTGCTGTGTTTCGCAGGTTCCAACAGGTGGTCGCGGAATACAACAGGATAACCGGAGCCGACCGCGCGCGAAGAACAAGGTGGCGAGCGACATGATCGCACGCGTTTCGATGTGTGCCGCCTTCGCACCGGTGGCCGCGAAAGTGACGCCCATTTCGGGCGTCGGGTCGGAGCGGTTGTCCGAGATCCTCGCCGGTACTGCGGCCGCGGTGTGGTGTTTTTCGGAGACCAATGCCACGGCAGAAGTAGCGGCCGGCGAAGGGGGGGCAGCAGCGACCGTGCGCGGAGCGTCCAACGAGTTCGCGAGTCGGTGTGGGACCGTCATCGAGGCGGTGCTTCAGCGGGCGGCCTCCTGGGTGGTCGTCGTAGGGGAGGTCGCCGAAACGGTGACGAAGGACCTGCAGGCGGCTGTGGTGAGGTCGCTGCCTGAGGTCGGGGAGGAGCGCGAGCACGACGAGCTGATCGCCCGTGTCATGATAGAGAACCTCGCCTTCTGGGGGGACTGCAATGTCGGAGGCCCGAAGCTCAAGGCTCGCGGCGTCGATTTGCCTATCGAACCCCAGATGAAGATTATCATTCGGGACAGGGGGGCGAGGGGGCAGCAGCACAAAGGGAAGCAGGTCGCCGACGCCTAGGTCGACGAAGGCTGGCCCGCCTGCTCGTAGCATGGTCGGCGTGGGTGCAAACGCTGCAAGCTTTCTGACGAAGACCTACAAACGCTGGCCCGACCGCTCGTGACATGGTCGACGTGTTTCGGGTGCTGTTTTGTTGTTTTGTTGTGCCTCTCCGGCTTAGGGATGCTGAACTTGTTCGTCGGTAGTTTTTCAAAAACGCTGTGAAGTAGGTTTTGTGGTATGGAGTCGGTTTGATGCATGGACAACAGACAAACTTCTACTAATTTACAAGTCGAAACAACGTTGGCAGTAAAAGAAAACCATATAGGATCACTAGAACAGGTCGGACACGCTCAGCACACCCCCAGCCCACCCTCAGCCCGCCCTCAGCCCGCCCTCGGCCCGCCCTCAACCCACCCTCAGTCACACCACGCTCAGCCAGCAGCACAAGTCGGACCCAGACGCAGTACCCTCAGCCCGCCCTCTTGCGCTTCCCTGCGCCGATGGCTCCCGCCGTCGCCTCGGCCTCCAAGCCGGCCTTATTGGCCTGCACATCCCACAAGTCGCCGAAGAGCCTCTTTCCCCAGTCAGCGTCCATGTAGCCCGTCGTGACCATGCCCCACGCAACGGCGAGCTTCCTCGCCAGCGACTTGTCCAGACCCTTGATGCCGACCGACTTTCCGTCGGCTGTGGTGGGGACCTTGATGGGCGGGGTTGCACGGAGGACCAAGAGCGCGTCGCTGAAAGTGGAAAGCCCCGCTCGCCCCAGGTGGTCGAGTAGCTTGATGACGGCGACGGTGTCAGCAGCGTCGTCGCTCCGCCGCAAGTCGTGCACCGCTTCCATGATCCGCCTCATCCGGCGAGTGCAGTGCTGCAGCGCATCGTTTTTCCCCGTCTCACCCACCTCGGTCGTGGGACGAGAGCTCTTTGCCGACTTCCCCAACGCGGCGGGCTTGTCGCCCTTTTCGACCTTGCAGATCATGCGCGTGTGTCTGACGAGGAATCTGTGCTCGTCGTAACGTTCGCGCAACGAACGCGAGTCGAAGTTGGACGGGTTGTTCCACCAGCGCCATGCAGCCTCGACCGTCTTGGATGTGTGCTAGGGATGCACGACGTTGACCTCGTACGTCAGGTCATCGTCCTGTTCCTTCTCGATCTTAACGGACGCTGCCTTCTCGGCAGCGGTCATCGGCCTTGTGCCGGCGCAGTCGGCGTCGGCCGTGCCTCGGCCAGCTTGAGAGCCTGCATCAACTTCGCGATCTCCGCGTCCTTCTCCTCCAACTTCTTCTGCATCTCAAGCTTCTCCATCGTGGCATCCTCCCTCTGGCGGTGCATCATCATGGTGAGCTGGCCGACCTGATATTTGGCGTCGACTCGCGCGCTGAATTCCTGCGATCCAAGGGGGATGGTCGGCAAAAGGTGAGCCAATGTGGCAGGACGACTTGTTTTACAGGTCGTCGGAACGCGCACGCCGTACCTCTTGGGGGTTCTCGCTCGGAGTACTGCGCGTCGCGATGGTTTCGAGGTCCACCCGGTTGACGTCCTTGGCCCATTTCTGGAAGTCGGGGTCGCGGCAGAGCTTGGAACTCTGGACGTACGGGTGCCACGGTTCGCGCATCAGCATGCACGCAAGATCCTCGGCGATGATTCGGCGGCCGAACTCGATGAGCGATTGCAGGAAGTGCACCCCGGCCGTGTTGGGCTCTCTCGCGGATGCGCACCTTACCGCCTGCGAGTCGAACACAAACACAAACACAATCAGCCGTCGGTAGAATGTCGTCGTGGAAATGGTCGGCGGGTTGTCGACGTTTTTTGCCGTCCGAAATGCTCACCTTGGCCAGTTCCGCTTCAGCCCACGGAAAGATGTGCTGGGCGATGAGGGCCACAACCTTGTCGTCGGGCTTCACCATGCTCCGGCCGAGGTGGTAGTCGCCGCGCTTGCCCGTGTAGCCGGCCTTTCTCAACACCGCCGCCTTCGGGATGGTCGTGATGTAGCTCTTCGCGAGCTTGTCGAGCGCCCAGTGGCCCAAGTCGGCGATGTCAGATCGCGGAACGCCGTCGTCGGCCAGCTCCTGTGCCCCACCCGCCCGGGCGGCGTGGGTGTTGCGCGTGATGAAGATCCTGTTCGTCCGCCACATCTCTTTCGTGATCCGAGAATGAGATGAAGCCGGCAGCTCTTTTTGTGCCTTGTCGTTCCGAGCATGAAAGAGGTGCTTGTGATACCAGCTGTACGGAGTTGTGAAGTCGAGGGGCGGCACACATCGAGAGGTGGGCGAGCGGCTCAGCTGGCCGTACACGAAGTGCAGCCACAACAGTGTGTGACCGACGGCGCACATCTCTTGCTCCAGGTGTCTCGCCGCGTAGCTGTGATGCAGACGAGCATCCTTGTTTGTCTTGGAGTTTCGTGACGCGACGACCATGACAACCGGCCGTCGCGTGGAGTGCTCGGGCGACGCGTTCCCCATTCTGTACAAAAACAGGTCGGGGAGCTCGATCGCTCGGAGACTGGCTCCGCGGAGAAGGGTGTGGTGACCCAAGAGGGTCATCGTCTTCATCAGCAGAAACTTCCACAGTGTCTGGGAGGGGGTGGCCGCTTTGGGTTCGTACGCCCGAGCTGCCCAGGTCGGCAAGACCTTGAACATGAGGTGGCGGATCTGGTCGGTGGTGTACGTGTCGCCGAGCGTTCCGCGGTGCCGGTCGACGCAATCCCTGCACATCAGTTTCCACGAGGACTGGGTTAGCTGGGCGAACCGGGAAACAGGCGTGAGCCGCGCGGGACGACTTGCCGACTTACCTGTCGTCCCTGTGCCACTTCTCTCTGACCATCGCGCGCACCTCCGAGCGGACCTCGGAGATGTCGTACATGATGTGGAGCTCCTTCACCCCGAAGAGCGTCCCCTCGACCTTGCAGGCTGTCTGGAGCGCTTTGATGCGGATGAGCAGCATCGAAACGGTTGTCGGCTTCAGGGGCTGGACACGGACGTCGGGATTCAGCTCCTCGAGCTCCTCGGCCTTTGCAATACCATGCTGCCTCGCGATTGACAGAATGTACGCCCTGATCCGCGTGGCGTTGACGCGGGGACCGTGCATCCATTGTAGGTCGCCCTTGGCGGTGTGCCACTGATCACCCATGTCTTCGTCGATGTACCTCCCTATCTCGTCCTCGTGTTCCAGCACGCCGTCCCCCTTGACTCTGGCGGTTTGCTGTCTTGGAAGGTTCGCGCAGCACCATCTCCTGAAGTCGAGCAGCGCCCGCAGGTACTGAACCCGGGTCGTTCTCGCCTCCAGCGTGTCCAGATGCCGGAAACCCCACATCATCCTCAGCAATCTGTTCTTCTTGTCGAGCTCTTTGTTGATGTCGAAGGCGGCTTCCGCAAAATCGTCGCGCGGAATGTTTTGCAGGAAGGCGTCATCTTTCTCGTCGGCTGCCAACAAGTCCTTTACGGTCAGATACATGTAGTCGTTTCTGGAAATGGTCCAATTGGCGGCGGCTGCTCCGTGTCCGAAAGCGGCGAGTACCGGTCCGGCTCGGGTTCGGGAGCCCCTTTCGTCCCTGGCGGTAGGGGGATGGTCGGGTCGGCGGGAATTTTGCCCTAGCGGCGTCTACGTCGACCACCATGTCGGCGGGAATATTTGCCCTAGCGGCGTCTACATCTTCCTCCATGAAAGGCTCATTCAGGTCGGAAATCGCGCTGCTCCCCGCCGGCGGCGCGTCGCCAGCCATCTCGGCGGGTAGAGTTGTTCCCGTCGGCCTCTAGTTGTCGCCGCGGTCTCGCGGCGGTACGTGCTCAGCCCACCAAAGTCGACACTGCACAATCGCTGCCGTGTATTGCCTTCGCACCGTGGCCCTAAAGGCTGCCCGTCTTTCGGCCCTCTCAATGTTCTCGGCGATCGTCAACTCCGCGGCAATGTCGGTCAATTCGGGAATTTCGGGAAGTAAGGGCGGCGGATTGGTGTTCTGCTGGGTGATGTTCGGAGTGGCCGTGGTCGGCGGCGCAATGGTCGGCGGGGTGTGAAGTGGCAATGTATCGTTTGGCGGGGTGTTGTTCGGGGGGAGGTTGGGCGGGGGGGGGTGTTGTTGGTCGGGGTGTTGTTCGTCGGGGTGTTGTCCGGCGGGATGTTGTTAGACTGGTCCCTGGCCATTCGAGGCCGTACTGGGGATCACCGGCGATGACAATACTGGTTGTGGGTTTGAAGAAAGAGGTCGGCGACTTTCGGTTGTTGTCGACCTAGCTAGTCGTCCTAGTCGGAATGATCCTAAGTCGGAAGCCCGTACAGTTTGCCGACCTAAACGCACTCTACACCGGCGTGGCTCGTCGTCAACCCTGGACCACGCGTGGTCGGTCGGTCTCCGAGAAGCGTGAAAATGACTGAGGGAAATGTGGCTCACCAGAATGAAAATGAATGCAACGCAACAAACAAGTGACGAAATGCCATGGACACTTGGCCGTCAGGGGGTCATAGCATAGAGAGGCACAGTCTCGGTTCGGGCGGACAGGTGTTGGCAGGCGATCCGTGGGCAGGTCTCCAACCCTGCATGCAAGGCAGAACGGCGGCGCAATGGTCGACGTGGCACGGGGCACGCATGTCTTCTTCGCAGCCGACTGTCCGGTGTTCCCGTCACGGTGAACCGTGCTTACACGTCGGCGTGACGCAACAGTGCTCATCGCGTCGCCCGACGATGGTATCCCGCGGGGACGTTCCCGCTAGCACGCCGCCGAAGGCTTGATGGCCGCGTGGACAGACGTTCGTCGATCGATGTTCGCCGCGTGGAATGTTGTGTTTCGGATGGGCGACGTGTGGCTCTGCGCGCCAGAGCAGTGGTCGGCCAGGAATCGCGGTGGGCCTTACGTCGCAGTCCGCGCCGATGGCAAGCTGGACGTCGTGGCACGGTGGCCGCGACCGGCGTCGTCGACGTGTCGACCTCGTACGGAGGGTCCGTTGAGAGGTGCCATCGGGGTTTGTCTCATCGGGATTGCCGGGTGACGCAGGGTGACGCTTCTCGCCCAGGACGTGCACTCAGTTAGCCGGACAGGATGACGCAGGGTGGCGGATCCCTTTCCCGAGCCGCGTTGTTTTTGCACCCGGATGTAGTCGGCGCGTTGAGATATACCATGCTGGATCCAGCAGCACCACCACTGGAGTGATGATGGTTATATTCAGCACCGTAAGCGTGCCCGATTGTTTGAATTCAAATGCATCACAAACATGAAGGGTACAGTTGACTACAACTGGAAATGAAGGGGTACATACCCAACTGGAACTCTTTCAGGCATGCTGTGCAAATCAAGGCGAGAGAAGCAAGCATTGACCTGAAAGTTGGATGTGTGTACAATAGGGGATACAGTACTTAGTAACTGGAGATTTAGGTGTCGTAGTCGGGTAGCTACACGCACACAAGCAGGCGTACACTTTTTTTTGCAACCAGAGTTCCACATTCTGCTTGGCCTTTGAGTCAGCCCGCCTGATCACCCCACCTCCCCTCATCATCACGCAACGTTGCGTAGTTTCTACCATCGGAACAGCAACCCCCTTCACCAGTCATGGGCGCGGGACAGAATCAGGGGGACTTTAGGATATTTTTCACGCGGTAAATCTCTTCGCATATCGCATCTCTCTCTTATGTGGTTCTGCTCCATTCACATCATTGTTCCCTCCCCGCTCATTGCTGTCATTTCACTCACACTCGCTCCATCGCACCTCGCTAGCTTGAGAAAGAAATCGCCAGCAAGGGGCGTTCCGCCACCACCATTTTAGGGCGTGCTACATTTTTTAAAAGTGGCTAAAATCCGGACCACCGTCCGAGAACGGTTCAGATTCCGAATCTCGGGTAGTCCGGGTCCAACGTCCAGACTAAACCTCGTCCGACGTTGTTTATGAAACATTTTCAACCTGACGAAACTCAGAGTGTTCGCTAGGTTGTAACCATGATCACGACGAGATTGCGACAAAGGTAACACTCAAGCGACTGAAAGACTCGAATCGTAGACCAATAAAAATGCTTTACTGTTACGTCCGTCCACTTATCGAACTGTAATCGTCCGGTCGAGTTGGGAGGGCAATTCACGCAAAATGTTCCATCATCGGTCCGATCGCTAACGACGTCGCAATTGGTCTAGCGAGGAATCTGACGAAAATAAACGACAACGGTAACTGCTATAAAGTCCGGACGACTGCTCATCCGGACGGGCTGAAGTAAAAATGTAACACGCCCTTACTATTCTTCGCGCAACCTCGTAGGAAGGACACCTCCCTCCGTCCTTTCCTTCCATCACAGATGGTCTGGTGGTGGTGGTCTGGTGGGCGGCTAGTTGTCGGGCACAGTAAGCTAAACCGTACTGTACTAATTCACTCTCTTAGAGGTGACGGCGAGCGAGTCAAGCATATCTTTTGCATACCTCAGGCTTCCAGTCATCACGGCTTGCTCCATGTCACCAGAGTTTAATTCACTCCTTTGACACTGGCTGCTAATTTTGGCGGGATAATGCTTACAGCAGCACCTTCATCATCCGCACTTCCACCTTCAACAGTACGCTTACCGATCAGCGCTTTCCTTCTCGTCATTGAATAAAGGAGGAGGTTTTTTCAACGGATGATAATTATCTGCTGAAAGCAGGTACTTGGTTGAATTAGTAAGCGACTCAGTTTATTTGAGCGCCAACACAGCAGCTTACCTGTACTTAGTCATTGCGAAATTAGTAAGGGCTCTGCCATCGAACTGTTCTGGAACGGAGGACTCCGCAATGGCGTCAGGAACCGGAATTCACCCGCGGAGTCTTTTTTCCCGCGAAGCCCATCCTAATTGACCGAATGCCCACTATTAGCGACGACAGCGCATCCTCACCTAAATCGCCTCTCGAACGCCAGTGCTCGTTCGCTCCCGGCGTCTCGTTCGACCAATCGGAGTTGCCCTTCGATCCGGCGAGCCCAGCAAGCGAGGGAGTCGAATCCACGTGGCACTTCCGTAGCGCGAGCAATGTTTTCCAGCCATCGTCAGAAACAGCGAAAACGGCGCAGGCGCAAGCGCAAGAGCCCCCGCAGGCGCAAAAGCCCGCGCATCACGGCGCTCCGCCGAGCCACTCCCCTTCGCCGACATTCGCGGCTAATCTCTTTTTCGCCGCTTCTCGGACCATGCGTGAATTGCTATCCGGGGAACCGAGCAACAGCGGCGGAAAGCCTGAACAAGCCTCGACTGGGAGCCGAGGCTCGGAAACCGGAGACGTTTGGCGGTTTGAACGCGGCGCGGCGGAACCAGGCTCGGAAACAGCAGCGAGAAAACCCGCAACGGTTCAGGAGAGTGCTGCGCTCAGGCAGCGGAGCTTGCGATGGAGCGCGGGGACGGTACAGCAGCGGAGAGATGAGGCTCGCGCTGTTGGCGGCGGCGAATTCCATGCTGGCGGCGAGGGTTGTTTTGCTAAGGACTCTGTCGAAAATGTCGCTGGCAGGGAGGGAAGAAATAGGGTTACAGCTACTGCGACGACGACGACGGCGTGTGCCATTGCGACAAGGAGCGACGATGCGGGTGGTGCTGGAGTCGACAATTTTGATCGCAAGTCTGACGGATGTGATACTAATGAGGGGAGGAACAGGAGCAGCACGGATAACGTCGATGCGGCTGTATGCACGTGGCGACACGAGCGACCTCGACATGTTCGAAAACACGCACCTGTCAGTGGCAAACGCAGCGCTCGACCCAGAGGAAGCTGCCAAGCTGGCGGTTGGGACGCCGTTTTTGAGTCGCCTCAAAAACAGACTCGCGACAGAGACGCGAGACACAGTGACGCCACCGGCTCCTTAGCGGAAAAATATCAATGCACGTACACGTCAGCGAGACGATCATCCTGTTCAGCGGTATCGTCGTCGGTTCTTTTGAAACCTTACGAAGACATCGCGTCCAGATTCGTTGTACACCACCGGGAGTTTGGAAGCGGGCAGTACGGCAGCGTTCGAAAATGCTTGAAATTGAATCGGCGCGAGTGTACGCGTGCAAGACAATTAAGAAGAACCAAATAAAAGATTCTGATGCTGCGGATGATATCAGGCGGGAGGTGGCGAGGCATGTTCCTGGCACGTGGCCATCCTCATATAGTCACACTCCATGACACGATTGAAGACAGAAAGGTATGTGGCGGCTCATTCTACTTACCCAAGCCCCCTCATGCTTTCAGTTCCATCACTCCCTCAACAGCTCCTCTTTTTCCACCCCCCCCGCCCAACCCCCCCCCCCCTTCCCCCCACTTCCCATAGCCCTGCATTTCCTCTACTCCTCCCTGACCTGTAGGACATTCTCTTTTTCCACCCACCTGCGCTTGTCCTTC